ATATATATATATATTATAATATATATATATATATTGCGATCGTGATTTTCAAAAGTATTACAACGCTTTGTAAACATTTAATATTACTATTTGACGAGTCTTCCCATACCGTTTGATATAGCAAATGGACCCGGAAGCCGATTCGCGTGTCGTGACACTTAACGAATGAACTACTCAAATTTGAATACCTGTCAGAAGAGGTGAGCAGACAATTATGGACAAAAGAAAAAACAGGTAAACAGTAAATTACCATTTTCTCTTCTTTTAGCACTCTATTTATGACTTGTTTGTATCAAGATCGACGCTTGGTGTGTTTGTTGATGCGTCTGAAAGCAACTCGTATCATTTTAATAATATTTTGGCAAATTGAACGAAACGACTTGAAAAAATGATTCTCACTGAACGAGACTCAAAGGTCCGAGTCAGTAAAATGATCTGAATGTCTCATCACTACTGTAATGCAGGAGAAGTAGACATGCACCTGGGAGGAGTGGGTGAGGAGAGCAGCTCATTTGCATTTAAAGCCACAGGCTATTAAAAACAGCTACAATGTAGTCAGAGACCAAATTGGGCATATTGTGTAGATAAATGATCTGGTGGGTATTTTGAGGTGAAATTTTATAGACACATTCTGGAGACAACAAAGAGGTAATATAGGTGCCCTTTAATAAATATTGCAATTTTTTACAGTGATTGTACAGTTGAAGTCAGAATTATTAGCCTTTTTTATCTTTGCCATGATGACATGTGCATAATATTTTACTAGATATTTTTTACAGATACTAGTATTCAGTTTAAAGTGACATTAAAAGGCTTAACTGGGTTAATTAAGCAAGTCATTGAATAACGTCCTGGTTACGTACGTAACTCTCGCTCAACAAATAGGGAACGGAGACATGTGTCTCCACTGCCACAGCACCTGAGTCTCCAGCTGGGAGGTGAGCGATCGGCTCTTCAGCAGGCAAAATTCTGATGAGCTGACTCCAGCAGCTGACTGATATAGCCCAAATTGGCTCATCAGTTTCAGCTGTGGAGCTAAGCTCCGCCAATTCATTTGGCATTTCATTGACCTGTTTTCATATCTTCAGAAGTGTTTGGTCGTCTAATGCCTAGTTCAGACTGCATGATTTTAGCCCCGATTTTGGCTCGCCGACAGGTTTTGGAAATCGCCGACAAATGCCTGAAATCACAGGTAAATTGCTGCTCGTGCATGTGAGTGACAATCACACAGTATGATCTTTCAAAGACGTGATCTGAGAGAATCGCTGATGAGTCGCCGATGCCTGTGAGGTGTTCGGCATGCTAAATATCTGGAGCTGTCGGCGATTCAAATCATGCGGTGTGAATTGAGTTTTGACTGAAAATAACATCAGCCATCGCCTACAGCCAATGAGAGAGCGACATTCACTTGCGTGTGTGTGTGTGTGTGTGTGTGTATACCTGCTGCAGGCCAGCGGGAGGCTGGGGGAGAAGTTAAAAGCGCTCTTTTTTGGTTTATTTGGACCCATGAAATGGAAGAAAAACTAGTGGAGGTTTGACAGGACTCAGGAGCAACCCTGTCTGTTTGACGTTTCATACAGAAAGAAATTAGTTTATTATCAACGTTAAGGAGAAATGGCTAATTCCCTTTAAACCCAGGTGAGCAAATATGTACATTTTCTACCCCATTAAAGGCTTCTTTCTCATTATGTAGTTATTAATAAAAAAAGATATACTACGTGTTTTTGGCTGGGAGACGTAGTTTGGACGAAGTTGTCGGCGATTCTTCCTATAGTAAAGTCATGCAATGTGAAAGTCCCTGTCGCCGATCCATCTTGCAGTGTAAACAAAGCAGCGACGAAACGCTAGCCCAGATAGTCATGCAGTGTGAAAACATCTGTGACATGACTACTTTGAAAATCATGCAGTCTGAACTCGGCATAAAGCTCTCCCAAAGTCTGTTTATTGGCCTTATTCTAAAATGCCGAAGTGCGCTCGTTTTCTCGATCGTTTTAGAACTTCCGATTCAGTTGCCTATGGGAGAAATGACTAGGAATAATAAATGGCAGAAAACAGTCGAACTACTTGCTCTACAAACAAATGTTTGCATTATTATACAGACCAAGTAGAATAATATAATAAGAAAATATTCGTTTGCAACATCAAGCAGCGTAACGAGCAGTTTTTAATGTCTAAAAATGAATGGAAGTGAATGAGACCGGAAGTCTTGAGCCAAAGGATTCAAATGGCTACGCCCGCTCGTCAGGCAAAGAATAAGGTGAATACAGACACACGTAAGAGTTCCCTTATGAAGGGGAACAATGGTTTGTTCTGCTGCAAAAAAATTGATGATAATATTGACCTTGAAAGAGGCTAAATTATCATATGCATTTGTTTATATGACAAAACATGCTTTTTGACTCAAGCAGGTCCATACTGACTACAAAGGCAGATACTGATAAGATCAGGGCCTGTTGTGTGGACCTTGGGGGTTTTATGGTGTGGTCACATGTTGATTGGTCAGTTTGAATGTCTTGAACGACTTTAGTCAAGAAAGATACAAGATAGGTGGTAAACTCGAGCTCTGTCTCTTTTCCTGCCCTCTCTTTTGCTGGCCTGCTTCTCTCCTGCTCTGCTCCACTCCTCCTCTGGAGTCTATCTTCTCTGACTCTACTGCAATCAGGCTTTTGGGCCTGCTCTCTTTGTCTCTCTCTCCCTCCCCCTGTGTCTCTCCTTCTACCTCTGGTAACTTTAATTTTACATTTAAGCTGGGTACAATTTATACAATATGTTTTATCATTTCATATTTGATCATTTTATACAGTATTTTGTTATTAATTCAGTTGTAACCATAGAGAATTATTGTCATTAAATCATTTCATTTTCCAGTATTTGTGAATTGCTTTTGATTTAACATCAACACTTAATTGTTCCATATTGCAATACAATACAATCACATAATATCAACGCTCTCCCACATTTATAGCTATTAATACTGCCCTTATTTCCGTTTTTGGTATGAGATTGCAGAAGAATGGTTTAACTTGAAATGTACAGTTTTTTACCATCATGCTGATCACTTTTTAGTCACTCTGCAGAACTACAGTTCGAACCGCTGTGGTTTAAAGACCGTCCTTACAACCTTAAAATGATTTTTAAAAAAGTGAAAAACAAATGAGAACAACAAAATAAAACAAATAAGACTTTCTCCAGAAGAAACAATATTTTCAGAAATACTGTGAAAAATTCCTTGCTCTGTTATACATCATTTGAGAAATATTTTAAAAAGTGGCTTCAACTGTATATCGTAATTAGCGCTCATCATAAATCCTATACTGTGATAATTCAAATAAATGTCAACCAAACATCTACAACTGTCAATTTTTTGTACACCTTACCTTTCTTTCCACCCTGCTCCTCCATATTAAAGTCAGCGACTATCGAATGAAGTGACTTTGAGAGCCCATAAAGTTAATTCCATATGTACATAAATTTGTGCTCTGAGCCACCACAAAATCCAATATGGTGACTTCATTGATTTTGGACCGCAGTCAACAAGATGCACGACTAACGATAACAGCGAGGGGAAGTGATGAAAGGGTGGTCACTCAAAAAAAAAAAAAAAAACGCTAACAAAACACTGTGTGCGTGGTATTTATGTTCTCTCATGAAGCCACATTAGCAAGGAATTAGCAATGAGCACATCCATGCATGCTAATGTACACGGAGAGCTCAAAGATGCATAACCACCTGCATCTTAAACAGACGTACGCTTTATCATGAGCACAGGCTGCAATAATTATATGGAAAAGGATGTGATGTGTAGATATGCAAACAGCAGTAAACACTGGTGCGTGAAAGCGTACCTCCATTTCCCGGACCGTACCAATCAAGCGAGAGCTGCTCGCATCAGCAAGTCACGAGAGATCAACTATAGCGGCTCGCATACGTTTCACTCTAGCACACTAACTACCCCTCATTAAGCAGAGTCAACAGAGGATAACAAACACAATTCATAGGTCTTCTTGTTTGCTCGCATGCGGACACAATCCTTAATGTGATGTCCCTCAGAATGTAGATAGCACTGCGCACTGAAAAAAATCAAGGAGCAAATTTTTTTTTGTATATACACTAACCGGCCACTTTATTAGGTACACCTGACTAGTACCGGGTTGTACACTCTTTTGCCTTCAGAACTGCCTTAATCCTTCGTGGCATAGATTCAATAAGGTACTGGAAATATTCCTCTGATATTTTGCTCCATGTTGACCTGATAGCATCATGCAGTTGCAGCAGATTTGTCGGCTTCAAATTCATGATGCGAATCTCCCGTTCCACCACATCCCAAAGGTGCTCAATTGGATCGAGTCTGGTGACTGTGGAGGCCATTTGAGTACAGTGAACTGATTGTCGTGTTCAAGAAACCATTCTGAGATGATTCACACTTTATGACATGGTGCGTTATTCTGCTGGAAGTAGCCATCAGAAGATGGGTACACTGTGGTCATACAGAGATGGACATGGTCAGCAACAAAACTCAGGTAGACTGTGGCATTAATACAATGCTCAATTGGCACTAATGGGCCCGAAGTGTGCCAAGAAAATATCCCCCACTCCATTACACCACCACCACCAGCCAGAAACATTGATTCAAGGCAAAATGGATCCATGCTTTTATGATGTTGACGCCAAATTCTGACCTGACCATCCGATTGTCGTAGTAGAAATTGAGACTCATCAGACCAAGCAACGTTCTTCCAGTCATCTATTGTTCAATTATGGTAAGCCTGTGCGAATTGTAGCCTCAGTTTCCTTTTCTTAGCTGGCAGGAGTGGTACCCGGTGTGGTCTTCTGCTGCTTTAGCCCATCCGCTTCAAGGTTGGACGTGTTCAGAGATGCTCTTCAGGTTACCTCGGTTGTAACGAGTGCTTATTTGAGTTACTGTTGCCTTTCTATCAGCCCCAACCAGTCTAGCCATTCTACTCTGACCTCTGGCATCAACAAGGCATTTGCGCCCACAGAACTGCCGCTCACTGGATATTTTCTCTTTTTGGGACCATTCTCTGTAAATCCTAGAGATGGTTGTGCATGAAAATCCCAGTAGATCAGCAGTTTCTGAAGTACTCAGACCAGCCCGTCTGGCACAAACAACCATGCCACTTTCAAAGTCACTTAAATCACCTTTCTTCCCCATTCTGATGCATGTTTTGAACTGCAGCAGATCATTTTGAACATGTCTACATGCCTAAATGCCTTTAGTTGTGATTGGCTGATGAGAAATTTACGTTAGCGAGCAGTTCGACCGGTGTACCTAATAAAGTGGCCAGTGAGTGTATATAATAAATAACATAATCATCTTCTAATATATATATATGTATTATTAATTTTGTATGGGAACTTCTCACTAAAACTAAATTTCCATTAGACCATTACATCCAAGTCTCGTCTGTCAGCTAGATGTTAGCTTGTCACCTAGCCAGGTTTTAGGAACAACAAATAATAATAGCTTAACTTCTAGTTGATCATTTGGTATCAGAAGTGATTTATACGAAAGGCAAAGACCTCTGGTTATGCTTATTTTACCAAAAAATAAAATTGTGTCGGGACAACATAAGTGTGTGGAAGCCAGCATTTTTTACAGTGTTTATAAACTGAACTAACACAAGCTAATTGCTGAAGCTACATGTTTGTTGAAAATAATGTTATTATAATCATCTTGGAAAAAAAAAATCCAAAAGCATGAAGCTAATAAATGGCTTAATCTTACAAAAAAAATGTAATTTGCTGAAGCATGGCACAGACATTAATAACATCATATAATAGGCAGCAAGCCTAATGATAATGCACTTAGGTTAAAAATAAAGTGAATTGCAGTGTGAACCGGCGACTGTGAAATGAGTTAGAGAGTGTGCTGTGAACAATGAACAATTCGTAGTTCGTAGTTGATTGTGTCATCGCCTTCCCGGCAGACTTACACTCTGCTTTGGCACAGATCAGGCTGGCCGTCGGGTAACCGAAAGAGCGCAAAATGGCACCGATCGCCAAGCTTAAATCCTCGTTGCTAGGATACAGCGTCACCGAGGCAAAGCGTAGATATGGCAAGCGCGGCGTCTCCTCTGGACCGATCTTGATGTGAGGGATCTGGGGGAAACAGACAAGAACAAAGATGGTTTTTCAATCCTGTCCTGGAGAGCTGTAGCACCCCATAACTTATTTGCCTTCCTTATTTAACACAACTGATTCAGATCATAAGCGCATTAGATGAGAGCTCTGCGAAGTGATCTACTGTAAGTGTGTCAGATAAGAGAAAAATACAACGTGTTGCCAAAACTAGGATTGAAAACCACTGATTTAGACGAACAGATTGTGTAATTGACTAACATGGGTTTTCAATGGCTGATGCCAATTTCTAAAGCAGCGGATTTCAGCTGAGCTCCTGGGGGTCCCATAGCTGTGTGCAATGTTGTATGTCTTTTCTTAAACACATCTGATTCAGATCTTCAACTGGTTGGAAAATAGTCTTAAATCAGCAAGCCAGGTTTAGTATTTTTGTCTGTTATGAGAGTTTCTTAGGTTTTTCACACTGCGCTTAGAGCAGGGGTGTCCAAACTCGATCCTGGAGGGACAAAAGTCTGGTTATTTATAGTGAGTTAAGGATCGTCTGATTGGATAATCAGTCATTAGCTAAAGTTGGAACAGCTGTGAACAATCATAAGCACGTAATCCTCTTGAAATTTGTTTATAAATAAACTTCACTACATGAGGCCCCTGGTTATTATAATGTTTAGGGCCTAAATAATGAAAGTGAAAGTAAAAACAGAAAAAGAAAATAATTACTTGGTCTTTTTATACCATAATAAAGCAATGTATCCTGGGAGATACAACTCATAAAATTCTAAATAAATCAAATGTGTTTTAAAAATGAATAAATCTTAGGTCCAGATGATAGAAAAAAAGACATCAAATATTCTTTTGCATTTCCATTCTTGCCCGTTTAAGTGTTAAATTATATTATAACCCGTAATTAAAGCACCCGACCAGACTGTGTATAAATATAACACAATTAAGAGACTGTAAATCCGGTGTACGCAGAATGACTGAAATTAAATGCACACTCATTTCATGCAATACTAAATTGTTAATTGGCTGAGTGGGCACCAAAACGGCCAGATATCGACCAATTAATCATCCGGGCTGATATATCATTCCATCTCTAACCGTAGAGAGAGAGAGAGAGATGGAAGAAAAAAATATGAGAAATTAGGTCAGAGGGAGAGATGCTTTTCAAGCAGCAAAGCAAAGGCGCACAGGAAATAATGGCCTGTGGCTGAGCAGCAGTGTAAATTTATCATCTCAAGAAAAAAAAAAACACACACACACTTTCTTTCATTCTCACCTCTTTTTCCCCACATATATGACTGACAGTGGATCCAGAAGCGGGACTTGAAGCGGGACCGATGACAGACACCACTCCCTTTGGCAGGATCTGACACACTGAGAGGGGTAAAGACATATTATTAGAAAGAGACAGATAAATAGAAGTAGAGATAGAGAGCGAGACAGTGACTGAACGAAAAAGGAACGGGGTAGAGAGACAGACATTACAGTGGGCTGTGAAAAAGCCAACATCTTGGACGGCGTCCAGCTCTGTGTCCTGTTCCTCGATGATATATCAAATTAGGAGTCAATGCAAAGCTCTTTTTGATTAATTACATCAATAAGCACAACACAGATTTATGCTCTGCCTACAGGAGATTGCTGCTCTAATTCTACATAAGAACGGGAGAGAGAGAGAGAGAGAGAGAGAGAGGGGGTGTATATTTAGATGAAAAGATTCTTTTGAACTGTGTTGCATTGAAATGTTGAGGGCACCATGCATGCGTGACATGGCCGTGTAATTCATTTCGCATCAAATGAAAACCTTTTATCCTGTTATTTTTATTGTGAATGTGTGACTCAGTCCAACGGTTGAAGGTAATCTGACTTAAAAATTGACTTCTTTCTTTACCCGTGCACGTAATGCTACAGAAAAAAAGAAGACAGAGTGTTTCATTAGGAGGAAATTACTGTCTGCACTGAAAATATGAATCGATAGTCAATGGGAATATCAAATAATGCAAGTTCTAGGCATTGATATAGACTGATATTGTAGGTAATTCAGGTTTAAAATATGTTGTGAATGGTTAATTTATTAACTTAATATAACATGATATAATAATACAATATAATATAATATAATATAATATAATATAATATAATATAATATAATATAATATAATATAATATAATACAATAATTCATTCATTCATTTTGTCGTCGGCTTAGTCCCTTTATTAATCCAGGGTCGCCACAGCGGAATGAACCACCAACTTATCCAGCACATTTTTACGCAGCGGATGCCCTTCCAGCCGCGACCCATCTCTGGGAAACATCCACACACACATTCACACACACACTCATACACTATGGACAATTTAGCCTACCCAATTCACCTATACCACATATCTTTGGACTGTGGGGGAAACCGGAGCACTTGGAGGAAACCCACGCAAACTCCACACAGAAATGCCAACTGACCCAACCGAGGCTCGAACCAGCGACCTTCTTGCTGTGAGGCGACAACACTACCTACTGCGCCACTGCGTCGCCAATATAATATAATATAATATAATACATTCATTCATTCATTTTCTTGTCGGCTTAGTCCCTTTTATTAATCTGGGGTTGTCACAGCGGAATGAACCGCCAACTTATCCAGCTCATTTTTACGCAGCGGATGCCCTTTCAGCCGCAACCCATCTCTGGGAAACATCCACACACACACTCATTCACACACACACACACTCATACACTATGGACAGTTTAGCCTAGCTCTACGTTGCCTAATATAATATAATATAATATAATATAATATAATATAATATAATATAATATAATATAATATAATATAATATAATATAATATAATATAATATAATAATGTAATATAATATAATATAATATAATATAATATAATATAATATAATATAATATAACATAATATAATATAATATAACATAATATAATATAATAATGTAATGTAATATAATATAATATAATATAATATAATATAATATAATATAATATAATATAATATAACATAATATAATATAATATAATATAATATAATATAATATAATATAATATAATATAATATAATATAATAATGTAATATAATATAATATAATATAATATAATATAATATAATAATGTAATATAATATAATATAAAATGATATAAAATATAATGTAATATTAAATAAAATAATATATGGTGATATCAATGATATCACACAACTCCTGAAAATAGTCCACAGCTAGCTCCTTAGCTTTTCTGTCAGTCTTTGTATGGTTTTAGTACTCTGTAACTATAGAAGAGTCAAGCTTTAAATAGGAAAACTATCTAAACTCTTTTTTAAAATCGAGCAAAATGCCAATGGTCTAATCCGATTTAATGATGTATGCTAAGCTAAGCTAACCACATGTCAGCTGAATAGATTCAAAAACTCAACTGTTTAGAACTGTTTAAAAACTTAAATTAAAAAAAAAGTTTTTACCATTTTTGAAATCATTCAGTTGATCTCTGGTTAGCTTAGCTTAGCATAAATCATTGAATCAGATTAGACCATTAGCATTTTGTCAAAAAAAAGAGTTTTGATCATTTTCCTATTCAAAGTTTGAATATGTTTTCCCATTTAAAGTTGTAAAATGAGCCTATTTCCAAAATAAAAGTGAAGCGTCCCTTTAATATTCATTTAAATTAGTCATACGGCGGTTAGACTGTGAGTGGTGTATCAGTGCACGAGTAGTCATTTTGTTGGCCTCACTTGTGTCTGTAGTCTCATACTGAGAGTCTCTCTGCAGCTCAAAGATGTCGACCTCCACGCGGGCACGCGCCGGACCCTCCATCAAACTGTTGATGTTCTCTCGGGCCAGAGCCAATGCCAACCGCTCTCCACGTCCACATGCAGACTGATCATCTAAAATAGCAGCTGAAGGGGAAACAACAAGAAGAAAAAAAGACTCTCTGTTTTGTTTCTGCTCTGGGAATTAATTGAGTTTTCTGATGTTGATGATTGAAGCTCCATTTGTTATTGCAATAAGATGGAGCTGCTCATCATGACGGAGCACAAACAAGTTTGCAGCGAGTGTTGCACGTTGTGATGTTAACTGATTAGATTGTGCCATTGAGCAACATTTCGTCTGGAGGCTCGCCAGAGATTAATTGATGCTTTATTGTTTGCAGTAATCAAGACGAACATGCCAATGCTTGAAGCAGTCAGTCACGTGGCGCTGGGAAATAGCAGCCAAGCACAAGCCACTTTGAAAAGGCTCCAAATCCGATAATGCTCAGAAATTTTTACATGAACTGTGCTCTAAAGTCAGCTCCATCTATTTTTTTTTTTCATAAAATCAACAGAAATAGATGTGAAATGATGCCAGCATATCTGAGATTATCTCGTTACGCTCTCTGTTCAGTGTAATAGGTGTTTAGTTGGAAAAAAGATTAAGCCTGGAAAGAGGTTAGAGCTTCAGAACTTGCATTTAAACATTCAATACTAAACACGGGCTTTACATTAGTGCCTTCTGCCTTTAATTCGAGTAGTTATATGGAGACTGTAATTATTCCAATAATAAATTAATTCCAATTAAAATCTCAAGACTCAAGATTTACAGTTTAAGTCGATATTTTTCCCCAAAATATTTCCCAAATGATGTTTAACAGAGCAAGGAAACTTTCACAGTATTTCCTATAATATTTTTTCTTCTGGAGAAAATCATATTTGTTTTATTTCGGCTAGAATAAAAGCAGTTTTAATTTTTTTTAAAAACAATTTTAAAGGGCACATAGTTTACCCCTTTTTTATGATTCAATATTAATATTATGGTTCTTCAGAGTGTGCCAGCTTAGGTTCAGTTCAACACACAGTTAAGACGTTTTTATAATAATGTGTTCAAAAGTGTCATGTTGGGGGCGTTTACACAGTTTGCTGTTTTAGGGGCGTGATGCTTCACAGTTTGGGCTTCCCGCCCAACGTAACAAGGGGGCGGAGCCAAGAGCTCCCACGCTCTGTGTTTGCAACAGACAGGCTGACAGACAGAGAGAGAGAAGCTAAGCTAAGCTAGGATGAGCATTCAGCCGTACATGCCCGACCCGGACACAGGCCAAGCAGAGAGTACAAAATCATTTGTGTCTTTGTATAGTCTCGGTGTACAAGTGGCGAGCTTGTACACCGAGACTAATAACCACACACAATGAATTAACTTTGACTAAGGCACTGAATGTGCCATGATACGGCACACCAGACACACTTAGTGACGCGGCAGAAACATTGTGTCCCGAATCGTCGCGCCACGCATTCCAGAACTCTAAACTCAAGCCTCCACCAGGGCAAACACAACGGCGCCGTGGCCGCCGAGCCGCCTGACCCAAAGCTCCGCCACGTCCAACTCCTAAATGCACGGTACAAGCAATAATTCCGATTACATCGATAATGTGTAGAATATCGATCATGTGTTGAGCCCAATGAGCTTTTCATCAAAAATAGAGCACGGGTGTTCCTTTAGTGATATCGCTTTGACTCACATGCTGAAAATGGCGGACGTGCAACAAGAAACTGAGGATATGATCGTGACGTGAGGCTGTCAATCAATATTAGTGGGCGAGGGAACGCTCTCCTACGTAAAATTGCGGTCGGTCTGAAAACCGCTCCAATTGGTCCACGTTTTTATGTTGTTAAATTGAAAAAAAAGGACTGTGTGTGTTTATATCACCCCAATATGACGGTCTATACACTATACTTACACACCTGTTTGTCCAAAAAGCTTGAAAAGTAGATTTTTTACCATAGGTGCCCTTTAAGGTAAATATTATTAGCCCCCTTAAGCTATTTTTTTCGATTGTAAATAGAACAAACCATCATTATACAATAACTTTCCTAATTAACCTAGTTAAGCCTTTAAACTGCACTTTACTACTAGTACTAATATTAGTATCTACATAAATATTGAGTCAAATATTATTTACTGTCATCATGGCAAAGATAAAAGAAATCAGTTATTAGAAATGAGTTTTGAAAACTATTATGTTTAGAAATTGGGGAAAAAAATATGGGACATTCTACCAGAAACGAACAATTTCACTTATAAAAAAAACGTGACAGGGCCTGACTTAAGCTTGTCATCCTCAAAAAATCATACAAAACAAGCAAAAAAATCATGCAAATCAATGATAGAATGCCTTCTTAACCACTGTCAGCTTATTCTCCGTCAAATGATGTCTTCCGAGTCATAGCCTTAAACATGTATTGCACGCATTTTATGTTAAGTTTAATGAAAATGTGACTGACAGAAACACGGGGACAAATGTACATTTATTTTTATGATATATTTGCAGAATTTATTCATAATTTTATGCTTTTAATTAATGTCCCATATAGAGGGGGGCTTATAATTCTGACTTCAACCGTATATATCTGAGAGCTGTGGAACCATTGCTGTAAAGTTCTACACATGGTGACTTTTCGTAATGCGCATTTGAAAGCTTAAGTTGATAGTTACAATATCAAGATTCACAAGCTTGTTTTTTGGAGGATGTAAAGGAACATTTACTCAGATTGAACAGACTGTTCATTAGCAAAATAGTAACATCTGTAAAAATAGTAGCATGAGCAAATTGTCATGAATAAAATGAAAAAGCCCCCGAAATGAAGAAGGCATGAAAGTATGATTTTTTTTATTTATGTAGGCTAGAAAATAATATGTTTTGTAATATTTTAATCCTTTATATTTATATCCTATATATCCTTATTATATCATATATACAGTTGAAGTCAGAATTATTAGCCCCCTTTTGATTTTGATTTTATTTTTTTTAATATTTCCCAAATTATGTTTAACAGGGCAAGGAAATTTTCACAGTATGTCTGATAATATTTTTTCTTTTGGAGGAAGTCTGATTTGTTTTATTTCGGCTAGAATAAAAGCAGTTTTAAATTTTTTTAAAACCAATTTTGGGACAAAATTATTAGCCCCTTTAAGCTAATTTTTTTCGATAGTCTACAGAACAAACCATTGTTATACAATTACTTGCCTAATTACCCTAACCTGCCTAGTTAACCTAATTAACCTAGTTAAGCCTGTAAATGTCACTTTAAACTGTACAGAAGTGTCTTGAAAAATATCAAGTAAAAAATTATTTACTGTCATCATGGCAAAGATGAAATAAATCAGTAATTAGAAATAGGTTTCTAAAACTATTATGCTTAGAAATGTGCTGAAACAATCTTCCCTCCATTAAACAAAAATTTGGGAAAAAAATAAACAGGGGCGCTAATAAATCTGTATTTCTTTACTGTATTTTCTTAATATTTTAATTTTGTTTCATATATAAAGATATTTGCGTATTGCTCTACATCTTGTGTGTAAGCGAGGCGCACAACTAACGCGCTCTGCGCTGTACAATAGACCGGCTTTGTTCTGGTCAATTAAAAAATCTATAATAGTTTCTCAAAATAGCAACGTGCCAGCAATGCGCCTCAACATGCCTTCCTTTCTAGACCAGAACACCTATGGACGCACATATGAGCGCAAATGCATTTGCTATTTAAACAGCATGACGCAAAACGTCAAAACGAGTCTTGCGCCAAGCTGAAACTAGCAAACAACAATTGCGTCGCGCCTTGCGCCGCATTGCGCCGGGTGTATGACAGGGCCCAAAGTAATATTTCATTTTGCTTTAAACTGGTTTAAAGCACTGAGACATTTGTGGTTTGCATCAGAGCACTGGTATTTATAGTGGCACCAGTGGAAACCTCTAACAAAATAACAACAGTCACAACCATTTACAGTCTGAAGCCCTGCATAGATTCTGTGGAGTGAATGGGAAAAACTAAGACAGAATTTGATTTCTTGATGGGCAGAAAGTGAACTACAGTAGGTTGTATCTTAATGCAGCATACTATTATTTTTTACCCTGACATTAAGTATCTACTGTATGCAAGCATTTCCCAAAAGTGTCTGTGCCACATACTTGAATTCTACCTCAATTAATTATCTTGCTTTTTGAGGCGATTTTCTCAGCAGTGTTCTATTTACACCCGGAGGATGATAAGAGGGGGAAGATAGTCCAATAGTCTGTATACAGTAGAAGTCACATTTCTAAACATAATAGCTGATTTATTTTGCCTGTGTCATGATGACAGTACATATTTTACTCAATCATTTACAAGCCACTCAGAATAATGTGACATTTAAAGGCTTAACTATGTTAATTAGGCAGGTTAGGGTAATTAGGGAAATCATTGTATAACGATGGTTAGTTCTGTAGACAATAGAAAAACAAATATTCATTTAGGGGTCTAATAATTTTAACCTTAAAATGGCTTTTAAACAATTAATTGCTTTGTTAAACATCATTTTTGAAATATTTGAATATATATATATATATATGAAAAAAAAACTATAATTTTAACTTAAACTGTCTCTGTTTACCTAAACCAGTAAGCCTCTACTGAGTCTAAAAGCCCCCTACTGAGAAGAGATGATGTGAAGACGCATGTTTGTGTGTTGTCTAGCAGGTAATGCTTGTGATCTCTTACCCATCCTGACGGCTGAGAGAGCGGGCACCTGGCTGTGAGAGGACGGAGCCATGGTCAGCAGCAGGACGAGGAAGAGGAGGTGAATCGACAGCAGCAGCGCTGGCAGAGCCGGCATCTTCCACTGCTCCTCATGGAGAACGGTCGTCTGGCTGCCTGCACCGCCACCTACAGGACAGGTAACGAACAGAAATCAGAAGTCGGAAATCGCCGAAGCGATGGTCTACTCATTCATTCATTTTCCATCAGCTTAATCCTTATTATCAGAGGTCGGCACAGCAGAATGAACCACCAACTATTCTGGCATATGTTTTGGTTAGCACTGTCGCCTCACAGAAAGAAGGTAGCTGGTTGGAGTCAGTTGGCTTTTCTGTGTGGAGTTTACATGTTCTCCCCGTATGTGTGTATAACAGTGTTAATAATACTTTCATTTTGACTCTTTTTATTTATTTATTTTATTTAATTAATTGAAGTAGAAACTGAAAGCAATTTGTATTATTTTATCATTTGCAATCCTTTAACTGTTTACCATTATTAGTATTCTCTTCGTTAAACCAAAGTCTCATATGTTATGTTATATTGTTATATTTTATGGCTTATGAACTTCGCAATTTTGTTCCTATTGTTTATGGTTCATAGATATGTATATATCTATGTTTATGGTTAATTAGTGGTGTTTGGATAGCGGAACTAATTTTGGGGTGATGTTTGAGGGGGGAGCAACTTTAGCGGAACACTTCTGCACAATATTGATTAATGTAAGTATATCCTGCTTGACAACATTTACATAAGTGCAGATAACGATGGATTGTTGTAAATGAAGTTTGTTTGTTGAGTTTAAGCTTGATTTATTCAAAAAGTTCATGCTGCTAACTGTTTAGCATTATGCTCGGTTTTGCTCAGTGTGTGTGTGTTGGAGAGAGGGAAGTTGATGTCCAGTTGCTCCGCTGCTATTTATTAATTCTTTTCAGCTATGTAAATGAATTTTGCTTCTAAAGATAAATAGAAATGTTTACAGTTAATTGTAAATAAACATGTTTTTTTTTAATCAAATGTTTTATATATGTATATTTATTTTCCTCTTTGTCCTTTTATGTGTTTAATTTAGTATTGTATTTTGTAAAATAATTGAGTCTGACGTTCTGCAATGCTGACGAGCGCATGTTTCTCTGTTTCTCATTTATACACATTGTGTGTGTCCGAAACCGCATACTTCCATACTATACAGCACGCTAAAATCAGTATGCGAGCCGAGTAGTAGTCGAGATTCTGAAGTGTGCATTCCATGGACGCTGTGCTGTCCCATGATGCCCCGCAAGAGAATCCATGAATGGCACTGAAGCGACGCCACTGACACAGGTATGTCACGTGACCATGACAAAATGGCGAATGTAGTACGTCCAAATTCCATTCATACTTTTCACATTCATACTGTATAGAACATACTTTTCTAACAGCCGAGTAGTACTTTAAATTCAACAACTGAGTAGTAGGCGGTTTAGGACTCAGCCATTGCGTGTGTGTGTGTTGGAGAGAGAAGTTGATGTCCAGTTGCTCCACTGCTGTTTATTCTTTTTAGAATAAACAAGTTTCATCTCGGAAGTGGTTGTGGGTTTTGTAAAGTAGGAGTTCCAAACAGCTGGAAAGGCATCCACAGTGTAAAACATTTGGTGGATAAGATAGCGGTTCATTCTGTGTGGAGAAGCCTGAAAAATAAAGGGAGTAAGCCAAAGGAAAATGAATGAATGAATCCCTTTAATGGTCAACAAAACAACTATGGATGCACAATATACTGTAAAAAAAAAAATTTTGCCGTTGATAGCAGTGTAGGCAGTGCACAGACATGTAGGGTAACTGTGCTTTGAGCATCCCAAATTCAAATCCCGGCTCACAGAACTTTACCGATCCTGAACAAAACATCATCAAAAATTATATATATATATATATATATATATATATATATATATATATATATATATATGTGTGTGTGTGTGTGTGTGTGTGTGTGTGTGTATGTATGTATATATATATATATGTTTGTATGTATGTATGTGTGTGTATATAAATATATACACACATATATATATATATATATATATATATATATATATATATATATATATATATACATACATACATACATACATACATACATACATACATACATACATACATATATATATATATATATATATATATATATATATATATATATATATATATATATATATATATATATATATAGAGTGTAAAAATTATGGCCATGCTGATAAGTAGGTGCCAAACAACCAACACCATTTCTATCCAAAGTGACTACATTTAAGCCAAGTTTCCCTTTATTCATTATAAGCCATCAATCATTTGTAGCACTCTATCATTTAAAATGCTAAAGGGAATGACAGCATTGCGAATGTGCAATCTGACCTTGGGTGTTTTTAAATGTAACAAATGTGCAAATGAGAACGCACAGTGACACATCCAGTGTCTGTTGACATTTATCCTATAGGCACATAAGAAGACTGATATATTCTGAGAACGGCAACATACTAATTACTTTATTTTTGCAGTATCAACACTGTCCAAAGAACATTTACATTTAGTCATTCAGCAGATGCTTTTAAAGCAACTTACAACTGAGGAGGCATTCAGTGATTCAACAAGAAGAGGCAATACACACGAAGTGCTCATTATATAAAGGAACTGTAGGTGATCGGAGAATGAAGTGCTACAGTATAAGGAAGTAGGAATGTTTTATTTTAAAGAGAGAAAAGTGTTTCTACTGGTGGTTTGTCAAGCCCTCTTATATGTGTGAGACATTATTTATATATATACATAGAGTTGAAGTCAGAATTATTAGCCCCCCTGAATTATTAGACCGCTTGTTTATTTTTTCCCCAATTTCTGTTTAATGCAGAGAAGATTTGTTCAACACATTTCTAAACATAATAATTTTAATAACTCATTTCTAACAACTGATTTATTTTATCTTTGCCATGATGACAGTAAATAATATTTTACTAGATATTTTTCAAGACACGTCTATACCGCTTAAAGTGACATTTAAAGGCTTAACTAGGTTAATTAGGTTAATTAGGCAGGTTAGGGTAATTAGGCAAGTTATTGTATAACCATGGTTCTGTAGATTATCGAGAAAAAAATACAGCTTAAAGGGGCAAATAATTTTGTCCCTAAAATGGTCTTTAAAAAATTAATAGCAGCTTTTATTCTAGCCGAAATAAAACAAATAAGACTTTCTTCATAAGAAAAAACATTATCAGACACAGAGTGAAAATTTCCTTGCTCTGTTACACATAATTTGGAAAATATAAAAAAAAAAAAAATGGAAGGGAGCTAATAATTCTGACTTCAACTGTATATATATATATATATATATATATCAGACCCTCTAGTTTTTCACAATTCTGCAATAGCTGAATCCACCGCAAAATAAAAAAAAATCCTGCAAAATACTTAATTAAACGCAAAATATTTGCAAAAAATGAATATAACCTCATAAAACATCAAATTCCAAAGCATAGAATCAAATCATATTTATTTCAGTTTGCAATAATTGTTTTAGGTGACTTATAATTGTTGCATACGCAGCGCACGTGATGTATTTGAGTGTCTTTTGAAAAATTCCGTCTCACCTGCGCCCACACAATCCTATTACATGGGATGGAGGGCACAGGGGAGTTTTCAGCTTGTACAGTAAGCAGATTAGGATTAAGCGCAAGTGATTTACATATAAAGTCAAAGCAAAGACATCCTGTGGTTTCGATTGCAATTTAGAGTGCATAAGAAAATTGGAGCAAACATCTAACAAATGGAACAGTGGAACAGGAAGATGGAGACTGGTTCACGTGACCAAATTGAAGGACATTATTTGTGCTTTACATATATGGCTGGTAATATAAAGTGTCAAATGGATCAATGATGTCGTTTAACTCTTTCCCTGCAGTTAACAAGAGAATTCACTTCCCTGCCATTGACGAGTTTTACGGCAATCCGTGTTTTAGGTGTATTACGGTAGGGGAAGCCCTGACGTATGTCCTGAGTGAGATGCATCATGTCAGATGCTCCAGGGAGCGAAATCTATGAAATCTAAGTGAGAGAAAGTAAGATCATGGATAAAAATAAAAGTTATACAACCATCCTTTGGCTTAATCCCAACCATTTTACATCTTGACTTGACAAAAGACCAAAATAAAGAAGCTTTATTTGTGATTTGTCTGTCTGTCTGTCAGTCTGCACACCTAACATAGGAGGCTACCTAATATGGTAAATAATATATATATATATATATACTTGCTGGATAAACTATATATATATATATATATATATATATATATATATATATATATATATATATAGTTTATCCAGCAAGTTTTTACACAGCGGATGCCTTCCAGCCGCAACCCATCTCTGGGAAACATCCACACACACATTCACACACTCATACACTTTACTCATACAGTTTAGCCTACACAATTCACCTGTACCGCATGTCTTTTGACTGCGGGGGAAACCGGAGCACCTGGAGGAAATCGACACGAAAACAGGGTGAACAAGCAAAGTCCGCACAGAAACGCCAACTGAGCCGAGGCTCGAACCAGTGACCTTCTTGCGGCGACAGCACTACCTACTGCGCCACTGCTTCACCCTATATATATATATATATATATATATATATATATATTAGCGCCCTATATATATATCAAAATTATTAGCTCCTTTAAGCTAATTTGTTTATATATATATATATATATATATATATATATATATATATTTTTTTTTTTTTTTGATTCTAACATGTTTTTTAAAAATTCAAAACTGCTTTTATTTTATCTGAAATGAAACAAATAAGATTTTCTCTAGAAGAAAAAAATATCAGACATACTGTGAAAAAATCCTTGCTCTGTTAAACCGGGTGAAACCCACGTGAGCACGGGTAGAATGTAAACTTCTTACAGAAACGTTGGTTGGCTTGGTAAGGACTAGAACCAGTGACGTTCTTGCTGTGAGGCAACATTGTTAACCAGAAATCTAACCTACTCTATCTAGGAAGAGTAAGGGTGGAAGGGGGATTTTTTTAAACGAAGATGGCTGTTATATGGAACTTAGGGTATTTATAGTGGCTTAGGAACCATCTGATTGGTGAATCATAA